ATGCCAGATCGACGAGGAGGTCACCCACAAGGCCTGGCTCAACCGCTCCAACATCATGTTCACGGGGCGGGACAAGTGGACCCTGGACAAACGCGTCACCCTCCTGAACAACAACAGCAGTGATTTCTCCATCCACATCAGTAAAGTGCAGGTGACAGATGAGGGGCCCTACACCTGCACCTTCCAGGCCAACAACAAGCCCCGCCTCACACACGTCTACCTCATCGTGCAAGGTAAGGCTGATGTAATGGCTGATGTGTGTTAAGTTCTGAAATATTGCCAGATGATCTATAGCAAAAGAAAAACATATATATTTATTCTGTCAACTGGACTTAAGTTTTTAGAGTGCTTCTTCAGTAAAATATACTTTATACTCGATTTTGATACCCCAATGATAATGAAAAAAGACTCCATTCTTTAGACAAAAGTGTGAATTTCGGCACAAAATAATTATGTGTTCTTTAAGTTACTATGTGGTATTACACTGGTTCTGATAATGTTCAACATAATTTTAAAACTGTGTAAGAAGATCAAATTGTGTCCTGTCTATGTGTTTTTTTGAGTATCATTACTTTAAATTAATATCTAATTTCGATATTGGTTTTAGTATCAATTAGTATCTGCTTTTTGATTCTCTTGACAGTCCTAATCAGGACCTACTGGGACTTTTACAGACACCCTTCCCATCCACTAATGCACGAAGCGCTTCCCTCTGCATGTTTTTCAAAAAAACAAATTTGGATTTGAGCTAAAACAGGCTGAGGTACGTCAGTCTGCGTCACCATGTTTGTTTAGGTTCACTTCTGAGATTTGTGTTTGGCTTCAACCCAAACCACGATGCTGCTCTGTGATTGGTGCAGTCCTCGACCCACTGATGGGTGAGCCCCGTCACACTAGTGGGAGCATGCTGCGCAAGGTTACATCTAAACCATGTGTAAAATGAGGCTAACCAAGTCCTTTATTAGGGCTAAACCAGATCTAAATTTTGTCTAGACAACTCTACAGTTATGACTTTGTGCACAAGGACGTACCTAAAGGAGGACAAGAATGTGGATTAAACTCACTTTAAATTCAGCAAATATTTTATCCCTGTAGCACCTGAAGGACCTAAACGTACCACAGTTTGCAAAAGAAATATTGCAATCAAATGAAACAAAACAAAACTCCAAGTATTCATCTAAAAATACTCTTACGCATACTACTACATACAACTTCCTAACCCTGTGTACTAGTATACGTGTTCATTTTGCATCATCACAATTCAAGTAAAGAGTTGCAGAAGCATTGTTTAAATATATTAAAGGTGCACTGCGCAACTTTTCAGGTGGAGGGTTGTCTCCATGGAGATGTTATTGCTTTGCCTGGAATGTTCAATTGTATAACTTTAAACATACTCATCTAACATTTACTCATTACAGGTGTTTCTTGCTCAAAAATACAGTAATTCCTTCTGCGAATATTGGCAGTCTCCACAGATCTGACCTGTAATGTAGCGTCGTGCTGTAACCTGCTTGACTCCCTCGTGATTTATAGGTTTAATCTATATTGTGGAACATTCTAGCAATAACATTTCCAAGCAGATGCGCACCCTTTACTGGAAATGTTACACGGTGCACCTTCAATAACTGCGTGTATCGTACATATCATACAGAAATGAACATTAATTTCAGTCTTTAAAATGATGCATCGAATGTGTATGTCATTTTTTTCCTCGCACTCGCAGAGGAAGCAGAAATAGGTGCACTGACGCCTCACCGAACAGTCTCGTATGAAAACACATCTGCTAAATGATTTTAATTACATATGTCATCATTAACCCAGGCACTGCTCTGAATGGGCCTGATTCAGGGGAAAGCAATTTCGCTGTAACATTGAGTGCTCCATTTCACGTGAACCAAGAATACGTGTACCTCGCATGAATCACCCGAGTAGCCTGTGGTATTGACAGGTTTGAAAAAAGAAGTGAAGAAAAGTTTTAAATTTGTCAATAAAGATGTAAAAAAAAAAAAGCTAGTTCAATGCTGCAACAGATGTGCACATAACTAGTCTTTTCACACACGAATATCAAAATCAGGATCCAAAATTTAATTGGCGCTAGATTTTCTCACATTGATCGTGCGCTCTCACCGCGCTGCTGTCTTTGAAGCTTCGTCAATAGACTTTAGTTGTTTTCTTTGTCCTTGTCTCAATTTGAAAATTTTGGGGAGCTCAATTTGAAAAACAAGGTTGCACGTTGGCGGAGGGGATTTCGAAGTCTTTCTTGATCTTTCTCACTGTACAAAAGCATGCGTTTTCCATGGTTTACACAACTGAGACTGCATTATGACAACAGAAAATCTAATTATGGGCCCAAATGAGCAAGACAGTTAAAAAAAATGTTAAGAATTCAGTTAAAGGTGCGTTTTGTAGCTTCTCTGATGGAGGATCTATCAAATGCTCATCTTCATGGAGATGTTATTGCTTTGTCTGGAATGTTTCACAGTATGGCATTCAACTTTCTATCTTCATAAGCCAAACAAGACCAAGTTACAGGTCAGATCTGTGGACAGGCATCCCCGCTCACAGTCAGAATGCCTGTTTTTTTTTTTTTTTAGGTATGTTTGAGCTATAAAACCACCTGTAATTGAATAAATGTAATGCAGAGATGTTTAAGTCATACTGTGGAATATAGGCGGAGCAATGGCATATCCATAAAAACAAGCAGGTGATGGACCCCCAAACAAAAAGTTACTTAGTGCACCTTTAAAGATCTATACAAGCTCCAGGACTCACCATGTTGGTCCCTATGATTTTTGGATGCTATATTGACTTACATACATTTTGTTGATACTCTAACATTTAAGGGTCCTGTACCCAATTTTACTTCCATGTATTTGAGCATAATTTGGCTCGTTCTGAATAGTTCAGATCTTAGCTCCTACGTCCTGTGTCTATAATAGGCAGCCCATGGGCCAATTCCGGATGCCAAGACCCTAACCCCAATTTGAATGCATCAATTCAGATAGATACATTACATTGTTTACCGTCATACTCCCTCATCAACTTTAAGTGTAATACCTAAAATTGACCAATAGTGTATAAGGAATAATGTATAAGGAAGTGGACTAAGCGAGCCATAGCGTTTGGCTCCACTCATGATGCTAGTGGTTACAAAAGTGAATTTGGAGCCAGGCTCTATATTATGAATAGGATTTTTTTTTTTTTAATGGACAAAATAGTGAAATAAAAATACCAAAGGTCAAAATGAAAAGGCTCCCAGCAGCAGTTACAGAGAGAGTCACTCAGGGTTGCTTACTTTCGAAAACTAAACCTTCCCTTAAGCAAGCATGCAGGGAGCAAGCGGAAATTCTTTTTCTATTTTTGTGGTATTTAAAATGCATTTGAACGTATTTAAACAAACACACGCAAATGATACAAGTACTGAATGCACATTTATTTATTTTTAATCGTCATTTTTCTTGATTGATTTTTGTGGACCCTGGTTTTGCGATGTGAAAGTGTTTCTGCCATCAGGTAATTTTAACTGGAGATCACTGTCCTAGGTCCTAGCCCCTAACTCCTTTACCTTTGGAGCTACATCACCGTTTCAGCTTTGTTTGGAGAATCCGACCATCCTAACCAGATTGGGAACAACAGAGAAGTCACGTGACCCTACAGAAAAAACTTCAACACCCACAAATTGGACTACCATAAGCACTACATTACCAGTGTCACATAGTCAAATATAGTATGCATCTGAGCAAAAATAGGCTGAGGTACGTCAGTCTGCGTCACTATGTTTGTTTTGGTTCGCTTGGGAGCTTCACCGTTGGCTTCCACCCAAAAAACAATGCTGCTCTGTGATTGATTCAGTCTCCGGTTAATCAGCAGGCCTATCACACCAGCGATAGCATACTGTTTTTCACCAACACAAACATGTAAGAGGAAATCTACAATGAAATAATATGAACAGGCACAGTTTTTAGTCCTGTAGTTCTGACTGTTTTTGACCAATATTACAATTTACAATGAAGGAAATGTAAAATAATGACCTAGACATGTTATAGTTTCATAATAAGTAGTATGTTTTCTTTAACCTAAGCCCTAATATTGTGGGTATCTGTGCAAATCTAAGGCATTATTATTCGTTTTAAATGTACTATCACATGTAAACATATTTGCCATAATATCCAAAATTCGCCAACACATACATACATGCTTTACAATTAACTGACTTTAGTTTTGTTTCAAGTTTGTGCCCTCACTTTTCTAATGAAGTAGGCTACTAAAAAGAACTGCAAAATCACTCATATGTGACAATTTCATCATCATTACCCCAAAGCTAATTAGAAATCCCAGACCTTCTCAAATCAAAAATTACCGAAAGTTAAAAATTACAGTTATTAACCCATTTTTCCGCATTGCCCTTTGTCTTCCAATTAGCCGTTCATTCTACAATCAAGGTGTCTGGACTTTTCAAACTTTCAACTTCCTCCACACGCCCCCTTATGTGGAAATGTCCTTGGTGATTTAAAGCGTCCATATTACGCCATCTTCTGATCTGTGTTATAACGTTGTTTCCTCATCACAAACGTACCTGGAGTTGTGTTTTGTTTCATTCATACATGTTTAATGCACAGACCCTGCATATTTAGACTGAGTTCTTCTCTCAAACAAAAATTGCTCTGTTACACCAGGTGATGTCATGTGGTAATACAGGAAGTGCTTCACTGTGTTTTTTTAACTCCACACACTAGAATCACTTAGCCAGGCTGGCGCCACCTAGTGCCTCCACTCAATTTAATTTCTCTCCAGTGACTAGGTCAGGAATCGGAACACACTAGACGGTTTGCTAGAACCCCGGAAGTTGTAGACTGCGCACCGGCCAATCAGCAAAGAGCTGTGAAGCCATGAATTCAAACTCAAGTGCCTGTCTGGGACCCTTTTGTGGTCCAACACAACAGTAAACAAAGCGGTCGAGATGGATGTCTACAAAGCCATACATTCTGTATTGGCAACGATTCCCGAGATCGAGGATTTAAAGCCGGAACAAAGATCAGATTCAGATTCAGAAAACTTTATTGATCCCATAAGGCAATTCATTAGCAGCATCTCAGAGCACACTCAAACACAAACAAACACAAAGTGTGTCAGTCCATTGCCGTCCACCAGTGGAACTCAAAATAAAATACAAATTACGGTGTAAAAGAGAATGTTTGGTGAATTTTACCAAGGGGAAAGACGTTATTGTCCT